AGAACAATGGATTATAAACAATAAAATAGATTGATTGATATACATTATGGTTCGGAGGAGTGAGAGAATCGGGGGAGTGAGTGGGCCAAGAAGGGAAGCGGGCCGTCTCGTCAACCGATAATAGAGGTTTTTGTCAAGAAGTCGTAGGGGTTTCAAGTTACCGCGGGTCTGTCAGACCAGATGTTGTATTAAAAATCCATTTGCATGCGGTCGACGGGACAAAGGTGTGCGGAAGCTACCGCGGGCTCAGAGCATTGTCCACCTCCCCCAATAAAACATCTCCTTTGAAGTAATCACAACCGGTTTCTGCCGAATGCGAATGGCCAGAAAGAGTGGAAGGGATGAAAACGGACGATAAAAGTTGGCCGAGGGAGACCAAAGAAAAGATATCTGTAAGAATGGGAGTGCTTTTTATCGGATGTATAAAAATGTTGGAAGCCCGGTAGATTATTGGCTGTGGAGGTAGGCTAGTGGGAGAAAGATGCTCCGCCTCCCCTTTACGCGATATTAAAATGTTACCAAGTGGGGAGAACCAGTCTCACTACCTCACCTTAGATTTGGACCGGTTATCAATTGGATATCAGCTGCACTCCGATATCTCTTCCCGTCAACCAGCTCCCTTTCTGGATAAGCCCGAACAAATTGCCCCGCGCTCCTATCAATCGGCAAAGATCGACAACGGGACGAATTTAATTAAAAGCGATTTTTATTTTCACGCGTCGACAAGATAAGACAAACGGAAAAAACTGTGCGTTTGTATGAGGGTAATTAAGGACGAGAAGCGAGGCTTTTTTTTGTCGTCTTATGATTCGGAACAGCTGGGTAAAGAATATAGAAGAGACATATGCTTGTCATTAGCTGGGAGACATTAAGGGGATCGGGCGACAAAAAGCGAGACCGTACACGCATGTGTGTGGGTGTTAGTGTGCAAGTCACTGCCTCAGGCTCTCGGTACGCAAGACGGTGCCGATAGCGGCCGAAAACTAAAAGATCGGCATTATCGGCGACCGAGCCGTTGGATGCTATTTCAAGACACACGGTTGACACTTTAGTAAATTAACGTCATGCCTTCCCACAACCTTACACCACTAACGATGTATTTTCGATCCGAGCGACCGCCCATACAACCGAGTCTCTGGGAATTATTATTATAAAAACAGAGGTGAAGGAAAGGGAACTATTTTTACTTGTGGGTGGAAGGTTCGTAATGACTGATCTGTGCTCGGCGCACGTGTCCATCTGCCGTTAATAATTTGTCAGCCGAAATCCAGGCTTTTCAATCGAAAACGAGCGAGCTACGCGATCTTCCTCGATCGCCGGCGATCCGCGATTCCTTTTCATCCTTACCCATTACGAAATGAAACAATGTCTCTTACCTAACTAACCGACTCGGTCGGATTACTCGGATTGCTTAACACATAACGCTTACTCCTTGTCTTAATTAATCTCTACATTACGAATCGATAAGCCATGTTCACCCAAGATGTCACTGAAAAACCCACAAAAACTGCCACATTGTATGTATATATATTACAAACACCGGTCTTATTTCTATAGTTCGCATATTGATTACCTTATTCTCACTGTCTGTCCCTCTTTCCCCCTTGTATTCAGCCTGATATTTCTCATCAAGCCTTATTTTCTAAGGGGTCTTCTCCTCCCCCATTCAACCCTTCGCACACACATACCCTCTAGCCACACACACCGAGACTTCATATTTTAGAGGGTCGGACTGAGGGCGAGAGGGGGTCGGCGTTCTAACACATCGACAATTCATCAAATCTGGAGGGAATTCACTATCTTTCTCGGATTTTCCCTTTTAAAAAATCATCAGAAGCTTTGATACTAATCAGGACACAAAGTCAATGGGGATATTCATATGAATAACTTTCCTCCGCCTCCTTGAGTCAAAACGAAAAAAAAATCGGTAAGCGGCCTCGATTCCTTAATTGATAAGTAATTTTAGTAATTTTGTAAGAGTAAAATTAGGGAAGGAGGAAGGGAACCTTTAAGAACCTTGGTCCCCTTGGGCTATTAATGTGATTTTGATGACCCGACAAGAACCCCGATCATATTGTTAAGGTCAGATTCACAACAAATGCCATTCTTTCAAATTTTAATCTCAACCGAACTTTTTTATATTTAAACGTAACTTACAAAATTATCGACTATTGATGTTTTGGATGGCAAATATGTCGAAACTTGAACGTTTTTGGCTTTATAACGTTTAAGGAAATTGTCAAAGTTACTAATTTTACTTTCATTGAAATGTAAAAGGAGAAAGAACTACAAATTAACATAAAAAGTCACCTAAATTGAGGAACACTTTTTGAAGTATTACTGTATAAAGTAAATGTACACTGAACGAATAAACTTTCATTTTGATTTTTTTTTTTTTTTGGCCTTACTATTTCAGTATTGGCCACAAATTTTTGCCACAATATATTGATTGATATAATCGTATTTGTCCTCACAAAAATCGAACTAGATTCTATGTTGTTTTTTTACTGTTTATTTTCGATTTTCTCAAAGATTAGGCGAAAAAATATGTATATGGTATAATGTAAATACGGCATACAATTGTTACTATTATTAGGTTTCTAAAATTACACAATGTCACTTATTTGGCTTTGGTCCATTTATTTTTAATGATCTACCTCAAAACCCGCTTATGAATCGCTAGAATGACATTTTCTCTTGGTGTCCCCGAAAGAAATGAGTGTTGCTTGCAAATGTTATAAATTTGTATGTCTTTAGTGCCCTGAGTGGCACGATTGCAACGGCTCAACATTAGAGTCATAATTTAGCAGATATATTGCAGTTGTCATTTTAATGCCACTTTTCTATTTGCCGTAAATAAATATATGTTTATTGGCGCGTTAAAACAAAAATAGTGCAGATTAATGCATATATTAACGGATAAAATTGTGTCGCTTATTAAAAAGATTTTTGACTGTTACTCAGTGCGAAATGATTTTTTTTGTTTTACTTTAAAAACAAAAGTTTTCAAAATATTCGTATCGAAATATGATATTTCTGTTGTTTTTTCCTTCAAAGAGACGAGAAAAGTAAGTAAAAGGGAATACAATTAAAAATACTTTCCAGTGGAAAATTTGAATTCGGTAGAGACAGAGTGGGTAGAAATAAATTAATCGGAACGGTTTTTCTCGGCAGGTGGTTGTAATGAAAGAGGTTTCAAGAGCTCAATTAGCAGGCGATACTTTACACAGTTTTTTGAAAGGGGCAGATGATCACCTGTGTGCGAGTGTTTGTGTGTGTTTGAGAGAGACAAACACTCGCCAAGTGCCAATATTTGTAAAAACACCCGGGTATAGGGGTTGAGGCCTTTGCCTCGCCTTCTCGCCAATTGAGCTATCGGTTCTGCGTTGTTAATTAGAATGAGCGAGGTATCTGCCGAAGGGTCTTTGCCAACTAAAACACATTTGAAATATATAACAGCTGTGGTCCCCTTTCTACCGACCGTCGCTTAGGGAAATAGCGGAACATCAGTCTAAAAACTTCTCGACTCGAGAGATACTCGTGGTATATTGTGAAAACAATTGTTATTAAATATATCCGAATGTTGGATTTGAGTCACGAGTTATTTGCGATTGGGAATAACCTACAGCCGTTCCACTCTCGGACACCGAGCCAGAGTACACTTGACGAGGTATAAAACTATTTCTGATTAACATACAATTGCTCTTGCCAAGTGACAAGGAGTGTCGTGGATTTAAGACTTTATCATAAATCAAATCGAGTATTCCCAATGTGTTTACCGGTTAAAAATGTTCTTCTATCGCAGCAGTTTTTAGTTTTTCAATACTTAAACTATCTGCATTTTCTCTAATTTATCTAATGATTATCGATGCGAGGAAAAATAAAATGAAACAAAAATAAAAAAGACAATGTGGCGCACGACATAAAAACATTTGGCATGAGTTAAATAGGGCTGAGGTATCAACAAAGGGAATATTGTTGATGTAGTAATAGTACGTCGCGGAGGGTAATGTGCCAGTCAGTGGATCCAAACAACTATGAATGGGTTACACGCTGCACAAAGAGCATGCCCTTAATAAACACTTGCAGTGTTAATATTCCTCATAACCTTCAACATTAAATCGTGCCCAGTAGGGAATCATTTCAGGAAAAGTTCAACTTTAAAACAACAAAAAAAAGTAAAAAAAAAAAAAAAAACAGAATTGCAAGTGTATACGTTTTAGAAAAACATCAATGGCTTTCTTCCAACTTTTCTTGTTTATTAACGCAATATGCCGGCCGGTCGCGCGAAGGCTTTGAACAATTTATGCGAAAATCGAAAAAAGTAGGATTTGTTTTCTAAAGAGGAGATTGCAATGTGAAGTTAGTCTCCAACTATTCTATCATGCAATAAGCGTTAGTTAAGCTTGCGAGGAATGCAGAAAACGGGACTTAAAATCAATTTTTTGCCGGGTGAAAGAACGTTACTCGTCCAAACAAGATCTCGCGAAATCAAGCCACATCAAAAGAAAACTGTCCAATAATATTACGAATTTCTATTTTTGTACTAATCGCACCGGATTACTGACAACGTCAAACTTTGATTAACTGCATTTTTCCATATTCAGTTCGGATCGGAAACTGTCAATTTATTTTAAAACTTTTTTTCTTCATAAATTTTAAGTTTGGTTGGTTTTGTTCGATAAAGTGCGGAAAATGTCAACGCCGACTCGCGAAATGTCATCGCTAAACGATACTAATGTGGCATTAAAATTTACCATTGAAAGTGTATTTGTTTGTTTGTAAGTTAAGAAGTGCGGGCAAAATATTTATATTAATCGCACTTCAGGGGACAATCGCAAACGCACACATGTTAGTTACAATAACCATTTTGTACGGGCAAAAAGCGTAAGCAATCTCGTACAAATATGAACAACCCTAGCAGAAATTATAAACGTCTATTGTTCTTAAAATATCTAAAAACTAAATTAATTTTAAGTGAAAACACAAAGTATACAAACATCACGCCCGAACAAACAGATGTAAGCCGGGTAGCCGCTCATCTTCATTTTGTTCAGCTTCTTGGTATTTCTTGAGGCTTCTTTTTCTTTGAGTTAATCCTCGTATCGTTTGGGCGTTCACTAATTTTTAAGGCACTTTCGTCGTTAACTGAGTCTCAGCGAATCTGCGGTGTTGTCTCGGCTTCCCAACTAGAAACGTGACAACATCGATTTGGCGTTAGTCGATTTTTTGTGTTTTGGAACACGCTACAATAAGAAACAGACACTAAGTTTAGAAGATAAAATTCAAACACAGTCTCTCTTCTAACGCGTTTTTTCTTTGAATTGCCGCGTTCGTTCTTGTTTTTATTTTGTTTTTTGTTTTTCAAATTGTAAAACGACGATGTGATAAAAGATTGCGGATCGCGATTTCAGCCCAAATCCGAAATATTTATAGGGTCGAAATGAAAAATTTTACTGTACACACGTATCGATAAACCAATCCCGGCAGGTGGAACGCGCCAAACGAGAACCAGCTGCAGAAAGATTGGTGCTAGGCGTTTGTGCGGTTGTCATAAGTCGTTTAGCAGTAACATCACTCAAAAATCACTTGAGAGTCAAAGGAAGTGAGGCAGAACCAAGTTTAAAGCTCGCGAAAAAATAAAACAAAAAGTAAATAAAAGACAGTACCTCGGAAAATACGAACTCGTTGATAAAATGAAAAAATCACATGCACTGGAGGGCAGAAACTCTCGAGTGTCATCACATCACTGTTCACACTTCCGGTATCGGTGTCCACTGGTCGACATTCCTTAATAGCCGACGACCCCCCACGTTACGTTTACAACTACGTGTATGGGGATGAACTCACCTGCTGCCAGAACTGAGCCAAAAGATAGATTCTTTCTTTCTTGAAAAGCCAGTCCATTGAGTGCATACCATGAATATCCATAACTGTACCCGGCGCGAAACCCCCCTTTATCCCAGGCGATACTTATGCCATGTCGGTCGTCAGTCGCGTTCGACAAGTCTCAAACGGTCAACGTCTACCAACGGACGAACGTGTTCTGCGGCCCAATTCGGAGAGGATTCTGTCACATCCTCGACAGACCGAGGCTGGCTACCGACTGAAGGGAATCCAGCCTTTCCGGTAGGGGGATGAGTCCTGTCGGTCGTTGGCGCACTCGCACGGCCGCTCACCCAACTAATCCCACGCGCTTACTCCACGCGCACTGCGACCGCCCAACCCTTCCCCCCACATCTTTTTTACCCTTTCTTCTCCCCTTCTTTCTTCTTCTGGTCTCTGGTCCGCCTGCCTGTTCGCGCAGCTCTCCCTGGTCACTCTTCTTCGATACCCTTCAATCACCCGCCCACTTTTTTCTCTCCCTCACACACACATACGTACACACACACACACACACACACACACGCATATGCACGCAAACACACATCGCGACTTTCAAACCCCTGGCTTTTTATTTTGTCGTTTCCTTTGAACGACCGAAGAAGTACGCCGGACCTGACAGGGAAACGATTACGTCCCTATTAGCATGATATACCTTAGAAAAGAAATCAACTCAAACCAATGGTCAATCCAATTCTGAGCGACATCTAGATGAAGGGTGAACGTCAATTCATACACTGCAAACGGTCGAAACAAGAGGCAACAATCCCCTTTCAATCTTCATCCTTCCTTGATTAAAGACAAAATCACGAAAGTCCTATAAATCAGTTTGTAGTAAGTAGTCTGTATACTTCAAACATTTATAAAACAAATTTTGATCAATGCTAACTCCCCGATATACAATAGTCAGCCTTTTTAAATCGTAATTTTATATTAAAAGACGAGCAAGGACGAGGAGAAAAAAAAACAATAATATAACGATCAAGAAATAATGATTCTTTATAATATTGTAGGATGGCGTCTGAGTGACCAAAATGATCGTTAACGACCAAACCACAGGTTCTTCACCCAGAAAGCACAAGAAGACAATCTAACACTTTAACACTTTACAAACCAGATCAGATTTATATATTACTTATTATATAATAAAGCCCTAATTTCAATTCTTCATAATAACCACTAATCCAATTTGAGATTAGTAATACAGTAGTAGAATGATATTAGTATATGTAGTGTATGAACAATATGCGTGGCAATCAAGACCTTTTTTTATTTTCTCATTCTATGTACGTAGAATCGCGTCTGAGTGACCGAAATGATCGGAAACGACCAAACCACAGGTTCTTCATCCAAAGAATGCCCAAGGGGAAAAACGCACAATTTAATTCTTTACAAACCATCTCAGATTTGTATATGATCTATCCATCCCAATTCTTAAATTTTTCACAATATCCCTAATCGAATATGAGTTTACTGATATTATCGAGTTTGTAGTAATAGCATGACGTTAGTATATAAAAAATATCCGTGGAAGACAGACCTGCTACATGTTTGTTTTCTTATCTATTAGATAGATTCACAAATAAAAATCGTTTCTGACATCCTTGTTGCATCATACTACTATAATCAAGCCGAATTTTTTATTCTTCATAACATCCTTATTAATATCCAAGTAGGAATTTATTAATATATCAATAGTCATTAGTTTATTACATAGTATATGTTTAGAAGTATGTGTGTCTGCATCATAGGTTGAAACATAAAAAAATACTTATTAAGCAGTCCATGATTTTAATAAACGTAAAAAATCCAATAAATAAAAAAGGTAAATCTGAAGCTATGTGAACTCTAAACTCCGAAAAATATACATACATTGTTACAATTTTAATTGTTGTTCATTCCTATAAATAATAAATTTGCTTTCTGTTACAACGAAGAAACAGTGATTTAAAAAAAGCACGAAAAATCAAAGTATAGTCTGTACTTTTTTAAATAGTAATTTTTTTAATCAAATTCCTGCTTAGAAAATGTTCAACTTTACAAATAGGATGTGTTGCTGTAATCGAGAAGGAAAGATCGTGGTATCCTTAAAAGCCACGTTTTTTCCCTTTTAATATAAATATTACGTTTGCATCGCAATGGTATAATTTACATCTTTATAATTAGCATATGATGTTTTAATTAAAAGGAGAACGTCAATTATTCTACTTTTTTTGCTTTTAATAAAATTGTTTGTTTTTTCGAATAGGGTAAAGAAGAAGATATAGAATATTTTTAAAACTCCAAGCGTGTGTAGAACATTTGGACAATATCGGCTCTCAGTATATTTTGGTAACGGTTCTTTTCGACGTGCCCGTTTAATAGTTGCCATTAATTACAGCTGGAAATTAATAGCAATCTAATGCAAATGATACGGAATAATTTGTTTCATGTGTTCTAAACGGTGCAAAGGTGTAAAAAGTTAAATGAGTAGCGGTGGATCTAGTTTCCGATATGTAGTACTGGTTATGTTTTGTCTTAATTTGTTCAAAGCGCTCTTTAACCGTGTCGTTTCAGTTTTAATCTTAACGGTGCGTCGGTTTTAAAAACTATAAACAATAGGGATCGATTTCTGACTCACTATCCTTGGCACCCTCCGTTCTCTTCAAAACATTGAACCGATTCAAGTCCGGGTTGCACAGTTAATTTGATTTAGTCCATTCCATCCCTAATACATATTTTATGATGGTTGTAGATCGGTTTTGTTCCGAGGTCGTGGGCAGGAGTCGATTTCAGGGATCTCTTCCCATCCGGGTAAAAGGTTTGCGCAAATGTCGCGTAAGCGATTGATTTCTTCGATCCGTTGTTCTTAAAGAAATATAATCATCATAGAAATAAGTGGTACAACTCGCTGAAAATCCTTATGTAATAATTTGAATTAATACATCACTCAGCATCCCTGTTGGGCGTTGAGTAACGTGATGTTTTGCGCGATTCCAAATAATTCTCCTTAACCAGAAAGTAGCCAACGTTGTTAAATCCGCTCTCAAATTTCAAAAATTAAATTTTTAACTTTAGAAAAGAGTTTTGATTTTTAAATGGTAAAAATATAAATCGCCCGAGATAACGGAGTTGAAAGTGAGAATGAAATCTAACCTTGCCATTAGGCAAGTGGAAGGGCACCGACCGACAACCACAACTGGCGCACAACTATATTAAAGCAACACCCATTTTCATTACTACGATCGTCCAAGAAGGTCTAGGGAAAAATGGTGATTTTTTAATATTCTTTGCAACCGCGGTGTGGGGAGAATAACGGTCAATTTTCTACAGATGGAACCTGGATCGCGTGTGTAATGTGATTATTAGAGCGGGGAACTAACTCTATTGATTGAAAATGCAAATTAGATCGGTCTTACATATAAAAACAAAACGTTAAGAAAACAAAATAAAATTGAGGCTGTTCAAACAGGCTTTTCTTCTCTCTCTCTCTCTCTCTCTCTCTCTCTCTCTCTCTCTCTCTCACTCACTCACTCACTCACTCACTCACTCACTCACTCACTCACTCACTCACTCACTCTCTCTCTCTCTCTCTCTCTCTCTCTCTCTCTCTCTGTCTCTCTCTCAGAAGAAAACTGTATTTGCAAGAAAAAACTTTCAAACAAATGGTCTTCATTTAAAAACGTCATATAACTTATTTAAAATTTAAATATATAGGAAAGAACAAAACATTTGATGTTAACAATAGTACAATAGAAATTATACTAATAGTTTTTTTACAGTAAATAATGTTTTGTTGGAACATTTTGAACTCATACAATTAACAATTTAAAAAATTTTGAATATTAATTTACAACTACAATGTGTTACTCCTGGGTTAATACCTCCGATTTTTTTTCTAATTTAAAGAAACAATTAATGATTTTATCTAGCTCTCAAAATATTTATTGTTATTTGTTTTTATCCGACGGGGAGATTCTTCCAATAGTTTTCATAAAATAGACCAATGCAATTAACATAAGCTCTCCACGCAGCTGTGGGTATGAGATGTGAATAGGATATTTAAAACGAACCGCCTTATTTATATCCAGGTCAATAGATTTTTTTTAAAAACAAAGTACAATAGTTTCTCACCTGTCAGTTTTCTTTCTTCTCCTTTAACGGAGAAATTGATCCGATTCCTGTGCCGTATGATTCGAGTGAATTCTGGTAACGTAATACAACTTGTTAGATCATAAGCGAGAATTTGTTTAGTGTATAAAAAACGTATACAATTAATCTTCATCTGTTAATTTTAACATCTACTGAGTTTTTATAGAGGACTTATTTAATAAAATTTTTATAGGTGGCCGCGGGGGTCAAGGAATGAATGGGTCGAGACCAACATGTGGTGTACTCTATTGGATCTCTCCCTTAAACGCTTACGTTTCAAGGGATTTGCCTCTTAACGTCTCTGGCCCAAATCCGCCCCTCTGGAATCTAATTAAAGATTCCCCATCGTTGTTATTTGTATTTATTTCAATACAGGCGGATTTCTCTCTTGAGTCGAGTGTCTCGACATGAAATGAGAGGAAGGGACACATCTTTTTTCCTCTCCTTTTGACACACAAAAGTAAGGACTTGCATAATGCCCCTTTTGGGATAATAGGTTCCACCCTCCTCTATCTCCCTTATTATTATCGATCTATTATGCATCAATGCTAAATAAATAATAGATGTCTTTGCGGCGGTAACCCGTTCTACCTGTGGCCCTCCTTTTCTTCTCGGCCCATTTGAATAGCAACCCTTCTTCCCTCGCAGGAAATGGCTCATCGATAATGCGTCTAACGTATTTCACAACCTCATGCCGATCGCAGCCCTTGACCTGATGTAAATAACGCCAATGAGGATTCAGATTAAAAAAGGGAAAAACAGAAACAAGTGTTTTGTTTTTCCTGTTGCGTGACGCGTGCTCAAAGAGACTAATGTACTTTTTCTTTAGAATCATAATCCGCCGATGCACTAATCCTCATTTTTATATTTAAAAAAATAAAACAAATAAATTGGACTTCTTATTAGAACAACGTGGTCCAATTGTTAAAAATCAATTGTAAACATTCATCGAGTTACATTTGTATAATATTTCCCTCTCATCAAAATATTAAGTATCGATTAGAAAATACAAAAATATTTGCGCTAGTGCTTGTTGGAATTTGACAATTCTCGTAAAATTTAAAAGATTTGAACATATATAATGACGATGTTTTAAGAGGACTTTT